ACGTTTAGTTTAAAAAGGCATCTTTTACTTTCAAGATATTTTTGATGATGAAAATAATATTTTGTCTTTAAATGATCTCAATTTAAAAACTGCTATTAATTGCACTTAAGAGTTAACAGAACCAACTAACAGTTTATTAAAAGATGATACAGATGTACAGTAGGTAAATACTTGTATTGGAACTTACCACATAATATCAATAAAGAGACCAAGTTGATTGTTTTCCAGTGGAAATTCTTAAATAATATTGTGATAACAAATGATGAACTTTTCAAAATGAAAATAAAGGAAACGCCAAATTGTAATTTTTGTGATGAAAATAAAGATGATTTAACGCAAAGATTTATAACATGCGATCTTGTATTTGAATTGAGTGAACTGTTGTCTACAAGAATAAATTTGATTTATACGGTTATGTTATTTAAATCATTTTCCATGACTTTTTAAAAAAGAATTGGTCCAAATCCCCAGTGATGCAATGTTCAAATTCTCTATGTTAAAAGGGTCATCACATGATATATCAATCAACTTTTAAACAGATTCAACCAACACTTTTTGATAAATCATGAAAAGTCACATTTAGAAGATCTAATATGGAAGTCAATGGAAGTTTGGCCTAAGAAAAAATCTGAATAAAGGATGGCAGCACTGGATTTCATTCCTTTTCAGCTACTTAGAAACTTATTGACCTAGATTGCTATTGACATCACCAAGAATAACTACATTGCCATCAATATTTGCTTCTTGAACAATTAAGTGAAAATAAGACATCTTCAAAGTTAACTATCACACAGTTGTGTTGTGGCAAATACACTGAGAATATGTATAGGGATGACAGACTTGCCAACCTAAAATGAAAATTTTTCGGGAGATTTAAAAAGAATTGCGGTACTTTTACGGGAGTTTTTTTCAAAATCCGGTAGTTTTTGCGGGAGTTTTTTGAAAAAAGCGGTAGTTTTTACGGGAGATTTAAAAAAAACGGGAGATTTTGCGGTAAATTTTGAAAAAAAAACGGGAGATATTACGAGAGATTTAAAAAAAACGGGAGTTTTTACGGGAGATTTTTTAAAAAATGTATTTTTCGAGGTAAATTTTAAAAAACGTGACTTTTTTACGGAAGATTTCAGAAAAAAACGGGAGTTTTTGCGGTAGGTTCTGAAAAAAACGGGAGTTTTTACGGTAGATTTCTGAAAAAACGGGAGTTTTTACGGTAGATTCTGAAAAACCGGGAGTTTTTACGGTCGATTTCTGAAAAAACGGGAGTTTTTACGGTAGATTCTGAAAAAAACGGGAGTTCTTACGGTCGATTTCTGAAAAAACGGGAGTTTTTACGGTAGATTTCGGAAAAACGGGAGTTTTTACGGTACATTTCTGAAAAACGGGAGTTTTTACGGTAGATTTTGAAAAAAAACGGAAGTTTTTACGGTAGATTTCTGAAAAACGGGAGTTTTTAAGGTAGATTTTGAAAAAACTGGAGTTTTTACGGTAGATTTTGAAAAAACGGGTGTTTTTTTGAGTTTCTTTATATTTCAAACTGTCTATATTATTAATATGATCTGTTTAGATTATAGATACAACATTTTATTACTTTGGAAACGAATTGATCAAAGCTAAGTAAAATGTATATGTGGCGTTCACTATATGCTAAGGGCAATCTGCGTGAGGTTCCATTTTTAGGTTCGGTTTTTCGCGCATGAGCATTAAATCCAGCGATTTAATTGGTTGAAATTATTATGACGCATGCGCAGTTAATAAATTAATTAGAACTTATAATCTAAGATAGATGTCACTTACGTTCATTATTTCACAGCAGTCCCTACCCATAATGCGCCTTATATTGCGGGAATATTTTGTTTAGCGTCATATAAAAACAAAATGTATTCTCCCGACAGAAGTATTACAGAATATGAACTGGCCCCCGTTTGTGGACATTTGGTGTGCAAACCTATACCGAACTGATCGCAGAAAAGCAATTTGAATCATGGGAATGAAGTACTTTTAAGTTATTTATGAAAGTATCGATAGTGAACCATGGGAGCCAATCCTTCTTGGAGTAAAAGAAAGAAGCGTGCCTGCAATAATCAAGGTCACAAATTTGTCAAATTCCTTTTAAATACGGTAGATTTCGACCACGGACGTCAGCAAAAAACGGAGATTTTACGGGAGTTATACCAAGAATACGGGAGATTTTACGGAAGTTATACCAGAAAACGGGAGATTTTACGGGAGTTATACCAAGAATACGGGAGATTTTACGGGAGTTATACCAGAATACGGGATATTTTACGGGAGACTTCAGCAAAAATACAGGAGATTTTACGGCCATATTTTAAAAAAAATTACGGGAGATTTTAGTAGAAATACGGTACGGGAGTTTACGGGAGTTTTTACGGGAGAAAACGGTACGGGAGTTTGGTATTTTTTACGGAAAAACAAAAAATTTACGGGAGATTCCCGTAAAAAAACGGGAGGTTGGCAAGTCTGGATGAGTCTCCCACGACCGATACCTTTACAATTCTGTCAGTACTCAGCTGGTAATATAACTATCCAATGAGTTGCACCAAAATATAACTACATCACCATTTCCCTATATTTTCCCGCAATTAAAATCATTTAATGTTTCTGGAGCTACCATAATTAAAATCAGGATGGACGTTGTCCAACTTCAATCTATTACAATTGCACAGTTTGTGCTCAAAGAGAGCCATTATATCGCATTGTGATTGCAGAGAATTAATTGAAGTGACAATTATCAAGTGTGTAAGCTGTTACCCTGCGCGCAGAGTCTAGTTATGAACTATTATGAAGACGAAGCTCTCTTTTAAGAATTGAAGTGGAACGAATGCAAAGGGTAGTAGTACCTGTAAGCTGTGGAACGAGTTTAAACAGTTAAAATCCTACTGAAAATCAAACACACCTTTCTCAAGTCCGTTCTTCTCCTAGACTGTAGTCTTTGGTGGTATTTGAGCGGAATATCAAATTTCCATCGCTTACAAAATCGTCTTTCCCCCGCGTCCACCACAATCCATCTCTCTCTCCCCTTGACAATTCCTTGGCCGAAGAATTTCCTTAACGGCCTTGCCAGCCCCGAGCATGTTGGTGATTGGCGTTACACCAAGTTTCATCCAGATATATGATTTTTCTTATGGACTTTGGGCCATGAGTGGTACTTAATTTAGTGATTTATTTTCATTACAACGCTAAAAAGGAATTATTTGGCATTGGTTTGCTTGATGTACTCGAGATGTCATTTAAAACCAATTTTTGGGGCATTTTGAAGAGCGCCACCTGGTGGTTGGCCCAAATCTTTCACTTAAGAGTTGCATTTCTGGGAATTTGTGCTCGAGATGTCAATTAAATCTTTGCTTGCTCCTAGGCTAATAGTTCGGATTGGTTGGAATATGGCACACATTTGATTGACTGGAATAGGGCACACCTGGCCTATGGCCAAGCTATGTGAGTGTTTGTTTGACGGTGGTGATGCCATTAACGGTGCCCGGGGATGATACATAAAGTAAGAGTTTATAGAATATGGTACTCCTGGTATTCGGCATACGTTACTTTATCAAACGAATGGTGGAATGAACACCTCTAAAATATCAATGACAAGCAAGAAACTTCTACAAATCACAAAAATGATAATAAAAGTCAACCATTGGTTGCAACAGTGTTCACATAAATTTTGATCTGAACACAACGGTGTTAACAAGTTTCTGGCTAGTAGCCAGCCAAGGGAAGGCTTTTGCGTGAATTAAAAAAATGAATTACTTTCAACCCATTACCCCCGCAATATTAATTAATCATTGGTATTTTTGGTCCATATTTGGTCTGTGTCTGTGTCATTTTACTACTCCATTGTTAATCACAATCCTGAATGTTTCTGGTGGAATGTTTTGGATTTGTTCTAGCTTAGCAAAATTATTTTGTGGCACCATTTCTTGTGAATTTTCAGACCTGATTTAAAAAATGGCCTCGGAACACTTGCGGCTTCCTCAGACGCGTGATTAGACGTTCACAGGTTCAGGAATCTGCATTCGGAGGAACTTTTTGTTCATGTAATATCCAAAATGATTAGGGATTCGATAAAATATGTTTTGTTTGGAGGTTTGCTATTCCGCGAAGTTCCGCTGTTTTCTAGTATGAAATTGATCCACTAAATCTGAAATATTGAAAATTCACGTGTAAGAAACTTTTTTCTTTATCTGTCATTACATGGTCTGCTATGTTTTCTGACCCAAATTATCCTACTGGCATCTTTAAATTTGTACTCGTAAATCAATAGTATAGTTTCTAAATAGCTTATAAAAAGCTTACATAATAGATGTCACCCTTGTCATTCTTCGCTTTACTTGGGCCAGCCTATAGCCGCCTATGTTATAAACTTGCAATTGTCACTTGATTTAATGATTTATGAAAAAAGGTTGGTTGAATCTGTCTAAAACTCAAATGGCATACTATGGAATGACCCTGTCAATGTACCTATTGTGATTAATCAAGAAATGTTTGGTTGTCAAACGAATAAACCAAGGTTTTAAAGAACCTTAGCATTGCATTGATGGAGAGCTGGAAAGAAAACGTGAAAATCTCATTAAAATTTCATTAAAAACGAGGATTAGCAGGATTTCAAAGTTATATGAAAACTCCTCTATTGATTACATGTTTGAAATTAACTTGGATGTAAAATGTCAATATTAATACGACCACAATAGCTGGCTAATGATGATAATGATATATTAATGATACTTATCAAGTAACTTTCAACTCACTTTAAAATGACAATTAAGTCTCGAAAATTCATAATGTTAATGACAATGGTTTAACATAAGTTCACTTTACGTTTTTATCAATTTCATCACTCAGACTCTAGAATTGATTTTTCAATGATTTCAAAGCAGCCATTATGTCGCTGATTGATGCTTATTACTTCATCCTCATATTTGTCATTAATGCAGTATATTTATAAGCTTATTCTCATTTTAATTATCCCATAATTCAAAGTTCGAGAAGGATATAAAAAGTCTTTCAAAGCCGAATTTTAAAGGTGACTGCTGAATTCAGAATGGTTGCCATTTTCTGAGAGAAATATTCTTCTAAATATGGACTAACGATAAAATTAGCAACAAGTTATAATGCGACGATGGCACGTTACATTTTCAATATTACTACTTGTCATTATTCTTACTTTCATAGAGCTCAAGAAGATATATGAGATACATAAAAACAGATCGGAAATAAGGAAGCACCATGGAACACCACTCCGGACAGACCCGTCAATTCCTGGAGATGGAGAACATATTAAGAGACAAAATGACACTGGAGGGCAGAGCAGACTGACTGAATCTTTTGCAGTTAAGCTAGACGAACCCGCCAATCTCATTCCAGAACAAACTGCGAATATAAATAAAACTCAAAGTAGCCCCAACATTGCAACACCAAACTCAACATACAAAGAATGTGCACAGGTCCAAATCAATGATGTGCCTACAGTTCAGAGGGCAAAGACATCAAGAGTTCCAGTTGAATTTTACGATTTAAGCTTTCATAATTATTATTTAGATGATTTTGAATATGTTCATCTTGGGAAGGATGTCTGTAGCAAGGTGGAAACTGAGAAGTTTATCCTATTTGTCGTGATAACTGATACTAGAGGTAAAGATAAAAGGAGCAGCAGGTACTGTAGGTTAACGCAAACAATTTAAGATGATTCTTACTTGAATTATGAACATTTTCTGATCATGAACATGGGTTTATCTTTTAGACCCATCCATTATCTCCAAGAAAAGTATATGTAATGACAATTAGTAAATCAGACTAAGTAATATAAAGGAGCAATTGATCAATCGACATACTTTTGCTAAAAATGTTGACCTAATTTTCAATAAAAATGCATCATATCATTGTAATGATGAATGCATATCTATCATTGGAATGTGCTTTGAGGCATGTTCTATTACCAAAAGGAAAAGTGGACTCCTCCAGGGACCTAGGATGACCAAAATGAACTGAAATCAATGGATAGCATGAGCTTTTTCCAATGGGGAAATAACACGGGGAACACTAATTTTAGAGGAATTCAGTTTTCCTTTATAATTAAAGAACTACTAGTAATTGATACATCAAAATAAAAGAATAGTAATGCATTAAACATCGCAAAAACTAGCTATAGAAAACAGCAACTCCATTGAGTAGCATATCCCACTGAACAAAACATGTTTTGATAATTAGTGGCCATCTTGACAATTTTTGAACAGAGCATATCAGCATATTAAAGGAAGGGTGCGATAATTGGCAAATACCCCCATGGTCAATATCATTTAGGTATATCAGGAAGAATAGAATGTCATATAATTCTTTGAAAAATATTAAAGTCCTTGGGCACACATCGGCTGAGATGGGGTCACTTAGTTCAGCAAGGTTGTATTGACTTACATTGGGCTGTGCACCATTGACTTAACATCTGAACATAGGGATATTATCTTATCCAAACAGAGGCCATTGGTTTCCATTGATTATCACACAAATACAAAAATACACTATGACCTGAATCGATTGCAAACTTAATAATTTCACAATATGACACAAATAGTTTATCTCATCAAATGTGCAAATATGAAGTTTGCAATCGATTCAGGTCATTTCAATTAAAAATTTTCATCATTTTTCCCCTACAAAATGGCTATAGAAAAGTGCTCAACAAACAACATGTACAACTTTGTAAAACCAAAGATTATACTATTGTATTTCATTATTTAGTAACATATTTGGATAAGATGTAGGCATGCAAATGGATTTTGATAGACACAAAAATACTTCCTGGTTTGGAATCTATGCCCTCTGCACTACAAGATTGAATGACGACCATAACATAATAATATAATAAAAAAGCAGTATATTCATTTTGAAAAATCAGATAAATTAATTCTTTTTGATGGGGAAATCATAATGGAGAGTGCACTGCTTTCTTTGAATCAAATCCATCCTCTGGTATTTGAATTATCGAAAGACGTCCTTGACATGCTTGAGTTATCAAAGATTACGGAAAAATGGCAGCTATTTTGAAATTTAGCCGCCATCTTAAAAATTCTTTCTCAAACCGAGCTAGTACTGTGTCCCTTGTCATCAGCATATAAAATTTGAACCAAATCTGTTCATCCGTCAAGTGGTATTTGAGTTATTGCCCGGACACACGGACGAACGAACAAACGAACGAATGGACGGACGGATGGCTTCTCTATCCCCCTCGAAATTCGTTCGGGATAATGATTGCATTTTTGTGAAAATGAGAGCATCTTCAGATCTTTGAAAATGTATGTTGATGGGTTGATTGCAGGAGGAGTGAGTAGCTCCCATAATTCTTTCATATTCTATCGTATTCGGGAATTCCCCATTACATCATCGCTTGCATCATCTCCAATCAAAATGCAGGATTCGATCACGTGAACAAACCTTAGCACGTGCTCTCTCAGTGCTGCGCATGCGCAAAGTTAAATTTGAAATCGTGGGAATGGCGTCAACATCAGTTCAACATCATCATTTCAAACCTACGGTAATACTATTGAAGTTACTCGATCCATACTTGTAGAGAATACTCATAAAACTACAGTGAACATTTGGAGATCCATTTTAACGGCAAATTGAGGCCTGTTTATAAAATTTGTTTTCGAACGTGCTAATATGATAGGGCATCTTTGGGAAATCTCCCCCCCTGGGTTGATTGCTAGCTATTAATATATCCTAATCCGATTGACTTCATTAGCATCGTATGGATGCACGGATCTAAAAGATATACCTGTCTCCATGGTAAGAAAATAGTCATAATCCAAGATATAACCACCTGAAACTGTTTGCGATAACCTACATGCTCCTTCACAATCTTATACAAGGAAATGGTCAACATACACGTTGAGCATCCAAAACGTAATAATCTGATAATCAACGTTTACAGGTTTAGCGAAGAAGGGGGCAAAAAGTCAATCGTGTATTGTTTAAGCAAATTGTTTGAAATTCTGATTCTTAAGATGAAGGAACTAATGATTTAAAAAAATCAATAAATCGTTATATAATTTTTGGTGAGAAAAGATTACATTGAAGCTTATTTTGAAACTGAAGAAATAATTAGTGGTCAACACTAACGCTCTTCTAAATAATAAGTTTAAACAATATATGTAACAAAACAAAATGCGAACTTAATATTACATTCAAAAATGTTTTGAAAACTATTTATTATTGAGGAAAGAAACTGATTTACTAAGTTAAGGCTATCAAATCACAAACTAGTAATTGAAGAAACAGGTAGATATTATGGTACAAAATCTGAAGACAGATTATGTAAACAATGTGAAAATCAAACCAATCAAATCGAGAATGAGTTTCACTTTCTCAAAATTTGTAATTACCGTGAAATAAAATTTTTGATACTTAATGTCATACAAAACACATTCATCTGAAATTTGAATAGATATCTATAAATCTAGGAAAAACGTTATTATATTGGACCTAATCAAATGCAACTCCTTTAACCTCACACCTAGAGTCCATTTCACTGCTTCATTTCGTCAGTAGAACGGCAAAAATAAGAAATTGGGAGACCATTGTGCAATAATATATGGAAAAGTATATTCATAATGTACATGAATGACATTTGTATATCTTGGATTGCTTCTAGTTTGGCTTATAAAGTGTGTGGCCTCTTATGTTTGGATGTTTCTCTGCCATGTTTTTCAATAAGATTAACATGGCTGAAATTCTTCAAATTACAAGACGGCACAGGCTTATTGCACAAAAAAACTAAAAAATCTGAAATATACAAATGTCATTCATGTACATTATGAATATACTTTTCCATATATTATTGCACAATGGTCTCCCAATTTCTTATTTTTGCGGTTCTACTGACGAAATGAAGCTGTGAAATGGACTCTAGGTCAGTACCATCATTAGCTAGTTAGGATTAGAAGATACATTAATAATGTAAACACTGTTCAAATAGATATAATGCATGCATATTTCTTTAAACGTAAACTGTTTTGCTCGATCATTTCAGGGCCTAAAATGGACCAATTAAACTCTAAATGAGAATACATATACAACCAGCATTTATTCACATATTATCTAATTATTCAACAAACATTTGCCATACTAACCCAGCCCATTGGCAGATATTGGCAACTAAAGTCGCCACCTGTCATCGTGTTTCAAACGCCTACATCCGAAAGCCAACCACCATACACAAGTTGGAGATTATAACAATAAGCCACCCCTTGTGGTAAGCCTATAGACCAAAAGGTTAATGCCTCTACTTCTTTCCTGGTAAAACAATGCGCATATGATACCTTCTTATTTCTTGTTTACAGACATCTTAATGAATAATGGAATGACTAATTGTAATAAAAATATTCAATGCTGCCGTGAGGCATGCAGAAATACGACTTACAGACACCCTTAAAGATGTTATTCACAATTATTGATAATTTTCAAATCAAAGTGTTGGCTTCTTTTAAAACTAAAAATCTACATTCACAATTGACATTCATCCCTTTTTTAAATTGCAGAGGATGCGATAGCAATTCGACAATTTTTACGGGAAACTTGGGGAAGTGTGAAAGCCCACTCCGGTTGGACAATTCAGACAGTCTATCTGATGGGATCAACCAATGACACGCATAGAATGGCAACCATTGCTGACGAGTCCAAAAAGTATGGTGACATCATACAAGCAAGCTGTGGAGACGCCTACAGAGATATGAGCCTCAAAGTAATGATGGTGTTGAAGTGGGTTGAGAAATATTGTGCAAACGCTAAATACGTCTTCAAAGGGACTCATGATATTGTTGTCCATTTCGGACGATTTTTCGAAAAGATAAATGAACTTTCCAAAATGACGAAAGATAGTGATAACGTGTTTTGGGGCTGCCCTGTGACTAATGGCTACATCTCACACCATGGCGATAAAAGGTTACAAAAATGGGCGCAAGATTCACCCGTTGTGTGGGAGTCGAGGCTATATCCAACATATCTTGAAGGAAGCGGCTTCCTCATGAATATGCAAGCAGTGAAATCAGTCAATCGTTTATATTGCCGTACACCCGTTACTTGGCCCGATGACACGCATACTAGTGGGGGCGTTTATTGAAATGCTTGGAGTGCCCCCTAGAGGTGAACATCTTTACTGTCAATGGATTCAATATGAGAGACTTAGACAAAATGCCATAATAGTACATATAAATCAAAGTAAACTTGAAATATTGTTGCCTATGATGGAAAAGGTGTGGAAAACAATGAACCCGGGACAATGAATGACAGTGTTGTCAAGGAACAAGAAAAATATTGAAGCGATTCGACTTCTGAATAGAACTAGTGTACTTCGGTTCGGTTCCGGTAGATTAGACAAGACCCGGCCGTGTGACCCTGCGAATCGGGTATCCGTGACATCTTTGCTGAATAACTGTGATGTCCTAAACGAGAAGTGATTTCCATTGGTGATTTTGTGGACTGGCTCTTTAAAGACTGAGGTCTCTAGAATACAAGGAGGCACTTTCTCCAGTGTGCAGTAAAACCTGTCTTAGTGAACACCTTTCTCTAATGAACACCTGTCTCTAGTGAACACCTTAGTCAACACATTTCTCTAATGAACACCTTTCTCTAGTGAAAACTTGTCTCTAGTGGATATCCTCGACACATACTCTACTGACTTACTAAATAACCCTCCCTGTAGTGAAAATCCCGCACAAAATGTTCATTATGAACAGTTTTACTGTATGTACTAAATGGCTGTTCTTAGCCACTGACAGTGTGAAGTAAATGGCACAAAAACATATTAAAAAGTCACAAATATCTGAATATGTTATTAAAATGTTTTTTTGATATACAGAAGACTGTTTGTGGGATTTGAGAAAATAATGTCAAAAGCTGGTTTTGTTGTCATCATCCACCATGTCCACTAGATGTCTTTTGTCAAGCAAAATTAATGAAAGCATGCACCATTTGACATTTTATACATATTTCACTTTATTCTCATTCATCAATGACATTTAGTTCATATACAGTCTTTAAACTAGAATATATGTAAGTGTCCTATTTCCATTGACCCATCCTGTGTAAAAATATACAAGGTGTCCAAAAAATGTAAATTGTTTTTGTTCCATTACCCATATTTCAATGTTGTACCAAGACACATGAAATAATGAATACACTGTATCTATGAGTGATAAAGGGATGTTTTTGAAATTCCATCATCTGACAGACAATTAAGCTATCATAAATATCTGAAAGTTTCATCAGCTTACTTTATTCAGTTTTAGAGGAGAATTTGTTTTATTAATCATCCATTTTTCCATCTTTGGAATTGCATTTAGTTCTGAATTGATCATAATGGAGGTCATTCAGAGAATGTCATCTATAATTTCTCAGAAGGTAATAGGTTGGAAAACGGAAAGTTTTCATCAGGGTACACTTTTTTGGACCCCCTGTATTTTATACTTAGGGTGGTGTCATGGAATAATGCTGTACATACTGTACTCCGGGTAAATTTTGACGCTATAAAATTTCGCGATTTTTCAAAATTGCAATTTTGCGGCTATTTAATTTCGCGGATTTGAATTGATGACATTTCGCGGATTGTAAACTCTAAATTGATAATATTAATACACTTACATGCCTTTTTACATTTGCATGAGCTTAGTAAGTACATCAATTGTTAATATAAAATTGAGAACAGTACCCCATGTTAATTATCGTCCAACAACACTGGTTGAAACATTTTACACCGAACGAAACATATCAAAAGTCCCGGGTCAAATCCCCGGGGATTCAAAAGACAAATTTCGCGACGATAAATGTTCGCGATTTTACTACATTCGCGAACAAAGCGAAATTAAATCGCACGCGAACAATACCCGGAGTACAGTATCAACAGTATTCATACAGAAGAGTATTGTTTTATAGATAAAGAACAGAATATAATCCTTCCAACTTGAAATTATACAAATATGAAGGTCTGAAGGTAGCATGTTATACTGTATACAGTAAGGGCAATAAAGATATACATACATACACACTGTATCAATAACATGTATCTCCTTTTCATAAAGGGTAATAAAGATATACAAACATACATACTAAAAATACTGTGTCACTTGACAACATGTATTTCCTTTTCATACAGGGCAATAAAGATATACATACATACACACTAGAAATACTGTGTTATTTGACAACATGCGTTTTCTCATGCTGCCTCATGTTACTTGTTTGACTAAAAGTTTTATCACAATATTTACATTTATATGGCTTTTCACCAGTATGAACTCTTTCATGTTGATTCCTATTAGTTCGTGCAATGAACAATTTGCCACAATACTGACAAGCAAATGGCTTATCACCAGTATGTATTCTTGTATGTTTTGCCAAATTTGGCTTTCTCCAGAATCCTTTGCTACAGAACTCACATTTGAATGGTTTGTAACTGGTAACATGCCTCTGTTGATGTTCCTTCCATACACTAATCCTAATGAATGTTTGGCCACAAGTTAAACACTGAAATGGTCTTTCACCAGTGTGAATTCGCTCATGCTCCTTGACTTGGTATGCTTTTTCAAACAATTTACCGCAATACATACACTGGTGCGGCTTCTTTTCCTTCTTGGTAATACTTTTCTGCCCTTTTAAATTCTCACTGTTTCTTTTGGTATGTATCCTTGAATGACTTAAAAGATTCAGCACATCTTTGAAAATTTTACCGCAAGGAACGCATTTGTATGATTTCAATGGGTTTTTGATTTTATTACAATGACGCCTCTTTTCGTGAATCTTCAAAGATGTATTCAAACTAAATGATTTAGTGCAGAATTTGCACTTAACCGATTTCCTATCAGTTTGTTTTGTGACTTTTGTCTCAGGCTTTTTCAAATTACTCCTATCCTTAAAACACTGGTCACAAAGGATTTTACATTTAATGGAACCTTTCTTGCTGTTCTGCATTTGGTTGTGAATTTTCAGACTTGTTTCCCTGTCAAAACATTTACTGCATGCCTCGCATCTAATTTGCACACATCCAACTTGGCCTATATGTCCTCTCTCATGCAGTTTTAAATTAAATTCATGAGTATAGCAATTTTCACAGTATTTACATTTGTATGGCTTCACACGGTGTGTCTTCTGATGCAATGACATACTACTGGCCCTCGTACAAGTAAATAAACAAAGCTTACATTTATATTTTTCATTGACATCATGTTGACTCTCATGCCTTTTGAAATCATACGCATTACTGAAGAAAATATCACAGTGGAGACATTTGTAATTCATGACAGGCTCATTAAGATGTGTCTTTTCATGAGCTTTCAGGCTATATGATCTACTACAAATTTTTAGACACTTCTTACACTGGTATTTAGTTTTACCAAACTCGGTAAAATCTGTTTTTTCTTGTTCAATATCAGGTTGTGATTTCACTTGGGGTGAGTTTCTCTGGATTGAATCAGTAGGAATACTACATGTAGATGTCCCCAGAGAATTCAAAAGCGGTGTCATCGTAGTGTTCCCAGAAATCTGTTCAGTTATTTTCTTTTCATTGAACTTTGTGGACATGTCAAAATCAATAACTATAGATTTCTGATTAGTATTCAAATCTGGAACATTTGTTATATTGCTGGATGTTGTTTCACTTTCAGTCATTTTCTGTTCACTAAAATTCAAAGCAGGTCTGCTTGGTTCAGCACAAGGATTAATAATAGTTTCTTGTTCATCAAATGGGCTCATAACTTCCTGTTTAATATTACTGGAACGGAAAAGCTCTAACTCAATATTCAGACTAGCTGGTACATTAAGTTCATCTGATTCATTTGGATTCACATTTTCTTGTTTTATATCACTGGAAGACAATAGTTTTTGTTGAGTATCAAGACCTGCTACATGCGACTCCATATTTGTACTGTTAGGATTGATCATTTTGCAATCAATATCCACAGCAGATTCATTAAATTTATATGTGATATCCATGAATACTTATTTCTCTGTTAGTTCATCATAAAACATGGCATATATAAACATTCCCCAATTTCTCATTATGACAAGCAGTGATTGATTCCTCAGCTTGGGGTCTAACTTGCATCTGAGCCCAGCAGTCAACATCTGAAAGTATAAAGATAAATACATTGAGTCTTAAGATGGAATTCCCTGAATCATAAATGTGATTGGTACAACCAGTTAAACCCTATTAGGCCTTATAGTATTAATCTGTCATGTCTTGCTGGCTGGACAGGCTTTACCCGGTTGAACTACATGCAGAACCTGCAGAGACTCTGGACAGGCTTTACCCGGTTGAACTACATGCAGAACCTGCAGAGACTCTGGACAGGCTTTACATGGTTGAACTACATGTAGAACCTGCAGAGACTCTGGACAGGCTTTACGTGGTTGAACTACATGTAGAACCTGCAGAGACTCTGGACAGGCTTTACGTGGTTGAACTACATGTAGAACCTGCAGAGACTCTGGACAGGCTTTACATGGTTGAACTACATGTAGAACCTGCAGAGACTCTGGACAGGCTTTACGTGGTTGAACTACATGTAGAACCTGCAGAGACTCTGAACAGGCTTTACCTGGTTGAACTACATGTACAACCTGCAGAGACTCTGGACAGGCTTTATGTGGTTGAACTACATGTACAACCTGCAGAGACTCTGGACAGGCTTTACCTGGTTGAACTACATGTAGAACCTGCAGAGACTCTGGACAGTATTACATGTATCTGTACTACTCTGTAGTATTTGATAACTAGCCAATGAAAATTCGAACGAATGAAGGTGGTAAGCAAGAGATGTAATTATGTCTGTCATCTTTAAACTCTGGGGCTTTCCCTCCTCTTTTTACTCGTGACAGAATTCAAAATGGTGGAACGGCTGTTCAGTTATTTTCTTTTCATTGAACTTTGTGGACATGTCAAAATCAATAACTATAGATTTCTGATTAGTATTCAAATCTGGAACATTTGTTATATTACTGGATGTTGTTTCACTTTCAGTCATTTTCTGTTCACTAAAATTCAAAGCAGGTCTGCTTGGTTCAGCACAAGGATTAATAATAGTTTCTTGTTCATCAAATGGGCTCATAACTTCCTGTTTAATATTACTGGAACGGAAAAGCTCTAACTCAATATTCAGACTAGCTGGTACATTAAGTTCATCTGATTCATTTGGATTCACATTTTCTTGTTTTATATCACTGGAAGACAATAGTTTTTGTTGAGTATCAAGACCTGCTACATGCGACTCCATATTTGTACTGTTAGGATTGATCATTTTGCAATCAATATCCACAGCAGATTCATTAAATTTATATGTGATATCCATGAATACTTATTTCTCTGTTAGTTCATCATAAAACATGGCATATATAAACATTCCCCAATTTCTCATTATGACAAGCAGTGATTGATTCCTCAGCTTGGGGTCTAACTTGCATCTGAGCCCAGCAGTCAACATCTGAAAGTATAAAGATAAATACATTGAGTCTTAAGATGGAATTCCCTGAATCATAAATGTGATTGGTACAACCAGTTAAACCCTATTAGGCCTTATAGTATTAATCTGTCATGTCTTGCTGGCTGGACAGGCTTTACCCGGTTGAACTACATGCAGAACCTGCAGAGACTCTGGACAGGCTTTACCCGGTTGAACTACATGCAGAACCTGCAGAGACTCTGGACAGGCTTTACATGGTTGAACTACATGTAGAACCTGCAGAGACTCTGGACAGGCTTTACGTGGTTGAACTACATGTAGAACCTGCAGAGACTCTGGACAGGCTTTACGTGGTTGAACTACATGTAGAACCTGCAGAGACTCTGGACAGGCTTTACATGGTTGAACTACATGTAGAACCTGCAGAGACTCTGGACAGGCTTTACGTGGTTGAACTACATGTAGAACCTGCAGAGACTCTGAACAGGCTTTACCTGGTTGAACTACATGTACAACCTGCAAAGACTCTGGACAGGCTTTATGTGGTTGAACTACATGTACAACCTGCAGAGACTCTGGACAGGCTTTACCTGGTTGAACTACATGTAGAACCTGCAGAGACTCTGGACAGTATTACATGTATCTGTACTACTCTGTAGTATTTGATAACTAGCCAATGAAAATTCGAACGAATGAAGGTGGTAAGCAAGAGATGTAATTATGTCTGTCATCTTTAAACTCTGGGGCTTTCCCTCCTCTTTTTACTCGTGACAGAATTCAAAATGGTGGAACGGCACAATTTTCATAGCTATTGTAATTCTTTATGTTCCCCACTGTACAAATAAGTCACCCAGCCCCGATGGTAAGTCTTTTTATGACAATTACATGCTCCGTCACAGCGGAAATATTTTTTCGATACCAGCCTGTGAATCAGGAACCATGAACTGATGAATACAATCTGTGTTTGACTCCAAAATCAAAAACAAAATAAAAATAAACTCTTACAAAACAACAGTGTCACGGGGTACCATCGAATAATTTTGGCAACGGACCGGAGAACGACATTTTACTAAGAAATGGCAATAATTTAGCACAATATATTTTTTAACTAGAGTTCTATTTTGATTTTGACAAAAGTAAGTATTCCATGCAATAACTATTTCATTCATGAGTTTGTAGGAATTATGTTGGAACCCAGTTCTGATCAAGTACGAAGTTATTGAAATCGGCGCAGACGGACTGTACTCCGAAAGATGGTTTTTCGATTATAACTTTTTACAACATTTAAGTATAGACTTTTGAAAAAAGTACAGAATAGTCCTTATACTATTGAATAATTCTGTTATTTCTGATTCACACGTCTCTGATTTGTTTAATTAAAAAAAAAGTTTTAAAAATATTACTTAGGAACGTAACCGGAGCTGGGAACGTAACCGGAGCAGATCAGTTGAATTATATAATTTAAAAAAATAAAATATATGATTTAAAGCATATATATTATTTACAAACACATATGTCAGCTTACTTGGTGTGATAGAATTATAGAACACTGTCTATTAAAGGTGCTACAATTAGTGCAGGGGGGCCATTCAACGATCATCGACAAGTGTCAAAATATATTTAGGTTTGGATATTTCATCAAGACTAACATATATTTTCATTATCTACAAAGAAACCCTATGGATGAACATTATTTCAGCTGATATTCCTCTTGAAACATGGTGGGTCTTAAAAATCTATAAGTGGGACTCCCTTTATAGAAGCTTTGAATTGAATTTACACTTCTTGATGCTGAAATTGATAGTTTATACATACATTTTATAAAAATAGGTATGTCAAAGAAGGTATAAGCCAAATATTGACCTGATAGCTCAGAAAAAATAAAAAATTTCGAATTTTCTCTCTACAGTCCTTATTGCCCCTTTAACGACTGAAAAGCAATGTTCTGTAGTTTAACTAGAAAAAATCATTCACTTTCTTACTTGCTTAATGACCCACGCCTAGGTTTATCGACACAACGATGGATAACAACTGGTTTTGCATAAAACAATAAACGGGCACTCACTCAAACATCTTACGTTTATATGGAGGGGGGGGGGTTAGGTGAAGAATTTCAGAAAGCATATGTTGATTCGATTTGGTCGAGCACATGACAAGTACTTAACACACCTACGCTATATACAGTTCGTTGTATCCTAACTTTTTTAATAATCTAGCATTTAAATGCTTTTATTTCCCCTGAAAAAGAGAAGTTGTCTTAGAAGTATAATACATGTATAAACAGTATATATATACGAAATTAGTATAACAGAGTGGGTTCTAATAGTTCGCTGAACAAATACAATGGGTGAAATCAAATGGAATTATTTGCTTACTACATTTAATCACTTCATTCTCCATACAATGATTGTTCTATGTTTGATAGCCTTTCTAAGGTAAGTGCACTTATGCATGGTAAATACCAAATTTAATTTTTCACAATGGATACATTTTTTTCTTTAAATAAAATGTAACAAATACGCATTCGAACAATCCCGTATGTTTTTAAATTAGTATATGTGCTTTAAATCATATATTTTAATTTTTTTGATTAAATAATTCAACTGATCTGCTCCGGTTACGTTCCCAGCTCCGGTTACGTTCCTAAGTAATATTTTTAAAAATTTTTTTTAATTAAACAAATCAGAGTCGTGTGAATCAGAAATAACAGAATTATTCAAAAGTATAAGGACTATTCTGTACTTTTTTCAAAAGTCTATACTTAAATGTTGTGAAAAGTTATAATCGAAAAACCATCTTTCGGAGTAAAGTCCGTCTGCGCCGATTTCAATAACTTCGTACTTGATCAGAACTGGGTTCCAACAGAATTCCTACAAACTCATGAATGAAATAGTTTTTTATTGCATGGAATACTTACTTTTGTCAAAACCAAAATAGAACTCTAGTTAAAAAATATATTGTGCTAAATTATTGCCATTTCTTAGTAAAATGTCGTTCTCCGGTACGTTGCCAAAATTATTCGATGGTACCCCGTGAGTGTAAACCACATCAGCACA